CATAGCAGTAACTGTATGGATGGTTCAGGACTGGATGTGTTTCCTGTCTGGTATGCATAGGGTCCCAATGGGTTGTAGTTGACTTCCTGGCACCTAACAACAACAATGATACATTTTGCTTACTTTTCTTTTTTCTCCCTAGCATCCTTTCTTGAAGGAAATCATTACTTTAAAATTTAATTAAAAATTTAAAGTTATATATTTATATATCTTTTTAATCTCAGCTTTTTGCTGCATCCATAACTTTATTAGGGGATTTCCCTTATTCCAATTGTTTAAAATAGTTTGATTCTTGCTCAGTCATTGATAGTCACAGATTTTTCTAGAAAGCTTGAATGAGTTTGCCAAATTTTTGTGTGTGTTTCTATATTTCAATGGTGCCCACAGATTTTTCTAGAAAGTTATGTTTTTATGCAGATAAGCATGTTTTCAGCTGGGTGTCCCCTTCAATGGAACAGCCACTTTGGATGGGAGTTCTATGTTTGCATGTTGGATTTATGGTCCTACAGGCTTTACTAACACTAATTGCATTACTTCAACTTCCAGAAAAATAACTAAAACAAATAGCAGAATTATCCAATTTAGGAGGGGCTAGATAGTAGTGCTAATGAACTCTTCTCCCACTTTTCAAAGCAGGTATTTGGTATCTAACATCTAAAGTTTTAAAATAAAACACAGAGGTAATAGCATATTACTTAGTATGCTATGATAATGACCAAGACAACCAAAGACAAATCATTAGACGTGACTTTCTACAAACTTTATAAAGAAAGTCACAGGCCAGCATGTAGAAAGATGTTAACTTGGGTGAAGGGGACGACCAACAAGATGGGCAAAACGTGATGGAAACAGAGCAAGGCACAGGAGGTTTGATGAGCCGCTGAATGTGAAACTGATTACCAGCTTGATAAATCTTCACCTAATTTATAATAAAAAGCTGTTCAAAAAACGGTTTTCTTTTTTTCCCCAAAAATGGTTTCCTATGGAACAAACCAAGAGTAAGAAGGGACAGGGTTCTATACAATGAAATTTGACTAGACCACTTCTGTAGAGGTGCTTTAAGGGTGTATGTTCTATCACACAATGATTCAAAAGAAAATCAACTCATCACTTACTTTTATCTGTGTTACACTTTAGTTAAAAAACAAAACAAAGCATTGTTAGGTACTCGAAAACTACAGAGATGTCGTTTCATCCACAGGCTTTTCGTAAGCCTATCCTATCTTTAACTTTGCATTCAGCTCTTTCTCAATATCAACATCCATCCTGAGACTGGACTGGCTACACTCACCATTCCTCAAAAGGCCATGGCCAAATCCTGCGACTACATTGTTGTCTAGTTATATGGGAAGTGCAGTACCGTTCCTTTGTTGCTGCTGCTTTAACTGGCTGACCAGCTCTCGTCCCACTCCACCCCTAATCTGCTGGTTCATCCACATTTGGCCAGTACTTATTATCTTGGATATAAAACTAATTTCAGAAGCTCAACTACACTGGATCAGGAAGATAGCTGTCATACCAAAGAGAGGCTGACTTCTGGGACACGACTTCCAAGGCAATAATATGATAGAATGCATGAGAGTATCAAAAGTAAGAACGAGGTAGGGCATGGGAGTCTTACTCAACCCTTCCTGTTGTTAGCTAGCTGTCTTTGACTTGGCTCTCAACCAGTGATGGTCCCATGAACAACGGATCTAAACACTCTTTGTCCTGTGCTACTGCCAATATTAGTTATGGATCAAACCACTGTGATCCACCAGGTTTTCACTGGCTGATTTTCGGAAGCAGACCACCAAGACTTTCTGCCTAGTCTGTTTAAGTCTGGAAGTGCTGCTGAAACCTATTAAGCATCATAGCAACACAGAAGTCTGCATGGTAGGCAGGTGGTAGTTACAAATTAAATGTATTGGCCATGAATCAAAGTTGGCTCTTTCACATGCAAGGTGAAAATTCTATAGTGAACATGTAATATAAAAAGGATGCTACATGCATGAACTCCTGAAGTAATTATTTTATATTTCTGCACTTTAAATTTCAGTACCCTGGCACTAGCTTATCTACAGTATCAGTATACTGTAGAAATACCTTGGCTTCCCAGTTAAAAGTACTCCCAATAAGAGGAAGGGATAATTTATTTTTATTATTAAAATTATTTAAATCTATTCTTATGTTAAAGGCACTTATTACTTGCTCTCTGGTCAGAACCATTATTTGGCAAATAACATACCCACATAAAAAATGAACACAGGCATATAATATGGATAATGTGCACAGGAAACTCTTGTAAGGAAGACATTCAGAAGTTAGCAAAAATGTTGGTTAATGTGTGCCATTTCTGTAGAAATTCAGTATTATATTTGTGGACCTCTGCTTTATTTCCCCGTCTAAAATTTTTTTGAAGGTATGATCCATATCTATTTCATTTTACTGTCTTCCACAGGTTCTCAGCCAGTGCCTTAGGAGGACCTTTTAATATAAAATCAGAATTTCTCTTTCCCTATTAAGGAAGATTCTCTTCTCATTCTTTTTATTTGCACCCCATCTTCTTATGAAGTCTTCCTTGACCATTTCTGCTGACAGAACACTCCTACTTCGGAATACCTGCTTATAGATTGCCTATAAATCATTCAATAGTCACCAATATTACCCTCATATTATCTTTTTAATGTATATATACATCTTATAGTCATTTTATATTTCAGTTTATATCCCAATACTATCTAGGCATGTCATTTTGTATTGATTAAAATTCTTTTCAACTAACCTTGTAGATATCAATCAGGAGACCCAGGAAAATATAGTCGAAACCCGCCCCTAAAGAGAACAAAAGACCTTATCTACAGCAGTGAAAAATAAACACCTACTGGGAAAGGGCCACAGGCTTTGGCATCCATGATAGCTCCTAGTGCATTAAATTGTGTTTGGGCTGTAGGTCTACATGCATCTTTGAATTTCATAAGCCTCCCTTTATACTTCAGGGAGACATAACCACAGCCATATTTATTTATTGACAAGGCCAATGAAAGCCGATGGCTTTAAACAAAATTAATCATTATTAAAGCACATAGACAAATTTCATTTGTAATTTAGTTAATTTTTCCAGCTGAGGAGTTTCATATATTCCCTTTGGAGTACAGACCATTTTACCCTCCGCTAAGCCATAGCTCTTATGTTTCCTCTTCCCTGGTGGATGAAAAGCAGGGAGCACTCATTGAATGGTCACTTCTTTTGTATCCTTCCACAACGAGGCAGGCATGTCATCAATATTAGCAAAAGGGCATCAGAGTTTTGTGCATTTTGAACACCTCTTTGATAATTAACAGGATGCCACAGATTTCACACCCTTGATTTTTTAAAATTAATTTTATCTAATGGTGAAATCCTACAATAAAGAAAGGAGTTAATTCTCTATTTCAGCACCTCAATCGGAATTGTTAAGGGTCCTGCTACTCAAACTGCTTTACTTGGAAGCTGATTCAGAGCAGAATCTTAGGCTTCCTGATTCAGAATCTGCATTTTTACAACCCCAGGTGAGAGCCCTTCAAGGTTTGAGAAGCACGGGTTTAAACACTAGAGCTTAGGTCCCCACATTTAGCTGTGCATTGGAAACACCTGGTGATCAGGTGAAACTATAGATCCCTGGGATCCTCCCCCTAGAGATTCTGATTTATTAGGTTGCAAGTGGAGCCCAGGGGATCTGTCAGTTTACTAGATCCCTAGGTGATTCCAATGACCAGCCAAGTCTGGGGACCTGGCTCTATAGAAAGATTTGGAGCACAACCAATTATAGGGCCTGGAATATTATCTGGTGCGCAAGAAATATTTTTGGTTGGTTGCATGAATGACAGAGTAAAAATACAATTTTTATAGAAAGGTAGCTCTTTAGGGAAAGAAAATTTTTCTTCTACATCCTGATTCTACTACTGAACTAATTTTTCAATTTGGCATTATTAATTCCATTTGAAATGTGTTGCCTTCTCTATTTCAACAAGCCCCTTTTATGCTTGTTTTGTCAAAGCAAAAGCTCGAATCATCTGTCTCTGTTGGACCTGCCAGGGTCCTCTTTTACAAGTGAGATAGCTGCATCTTAATTCTGGCTTTCTGAAATCCATCCCAAATGCCTGTAATAAGATGTAATCACCACTACGATTTGGGGAGGAGTGAGGAGAGGAGGTAAGGGGAAAAAGAATAGCATAGCAGGAGTATACTGCAAAACGGGATTCCTTTGAGTAGAATATTTCCAGGAAATAACCCAGGGCAAGGGAAATAAACACGAGGAAAAGAGCGCTTTTACCTTCCCAAGAATAGGTGGTCAGAGTAGAGAATACCAAAAAAAAAAAAAAAAGCCATGGAACCCCTTCCGACTCCTAGCAACCTAGAGGGCAGAGCAGAACTGCTCCATAAGGTTTCCAAAGCTGTACATTTTTAAGGAATTCCATCTTTCTCCTACTGTCGATTCAAACCGCCGATCTTTCAGCTAGCTGTCGAGTGCTTCAACTCTGCACCACCAGGGCACCTTACTCGGGAAATAGAGGGGGCGAAAAAGGACGACTAGAGGCTACCTAGCGACAGGAGGTGGAAGCTCATCAGCCCAGAGCCCAAGCGGATAGCGGTTAGAAAACAGAGGGCTGCCAAAAGTCACTCGCAGGTTTGCAGAAAAGGAAGAAGAAAGAGGAAAGGAAATAGCTGGTGAAGGGTTTGACTTACCCAGCTGATTTTTTAAAAGAAAGAGATTGACACGCACTTGACCGAGGGGACAAAGGGGTGGGAGGTTGCAATTTAGCGCACTGCCGAAGGAAGTGACTGCAGATGTCCCTGCCCAGCTCAGACGGTCCGATGGAGGCGCCCCAAGCAAAGGTGGGTGGCAACGCCCAGGTCTGCTGGCCCCCGCCCGAGCCATCTGCCCTGAAACCTGGGTGGGGCCGGGAAAGGGCGGGCGGGCAGTGCCTGGGAGGGTGTGCAGGACCAAGGGGAGGATGCTGGGTTGACCAAGTACCCACCTTATCCCAACGGAGCCACTGTCCGATGGCCGTGTCTAGCTGAGGGTCCCCGGTGCGGTGGTGGGTGGGGAGCAGGTTGGAGTTCAGGTCCCCCTCGTCATTTTCAGCCATGGCAGCCAGATTGGGGTGTGCTGCCCTGGGGAGGCTGCGAAGTCACCGAGTCGGCGACGGGGAGGTCTCCTGGGGTGCGCTCGCCAGGGTCTAGACGCCCCCTCCTCACTGAAGGGCACCGGAGACGACCGCCGGGGGTTTGCTCTCCCTCCAGCCGCAGCTTTAGGGCACGAGAGAGACGGATAAACACCCACCCGCTCCCCACTGGAGCAGCCCTGGGTGTCTGGACGAACCGACTGGGGCGGTCCGGCCGCGAGAGAACAACAGTCCCAGATGCCTGGGTCGGGGCCGGCGCCGGGGCCACACTCGCCGCCTCTGGCCCCGCCCTCCCCCCGTAGGCCCCGCCCCCAACGAGTTCAGCCCCGGGGAAAGCAGCACGAGCCCGCGAGCGCGCTCCCGCCGCCTCCGCAGTGGCGCGAGTTAACGATGCCACCGGGTGGTAGGGAGTTGAGGTACTGCGCATTTTTTAATTTGCCTGGCTCCAAGCATTTTATCCTTTGTAGTAAACCCACACGTGCCCACGAGTGTCCTTCCCTCCATCTGCCGAGACGACCCTTAGGAGCGTCCTCCGGCCCCTCCCCCCATCTCCAGCGCTTGCCCTGCGGGCCCAGGGAACGCGCACAGCTACTCCCCACCCCCTCCGCCTAGGGGCGGGGCAGTGAGGAGCGCCTGCATGGCCTCACGGGAGTTGTAGTTCTTTTTAATCCCCTCGGGGCCTAGAGAGACCGCCATAGAGACTACGACTCCCGGCATTCTCGCGCCCTCCCTTTCCTCAAAGGCAAAAGCGCTACCTCGAACCTGTTCCCGACGGGCATTCCTTGTCCCTGTTAAGTTGTGGAGCCCTGGGACTAAACGAAATTAATTGAATTAAGTTAAATTCAAGAAGGAGTGATAAGGTAACAACTGGTATCCATTCAGTGCTTTACGAATGGCGTTCTGTAGCTTCAACCGTCCTGTGAGGTAGGTGGGTGTGATCCTTTCTCCATTTTACACACAAAGACAAAAGTGACCCTTCGAAGTGGACAGACTTTCAAAGAGGCCAAGTTTGTTTATGATGGAGCCAGCTTCCCGACTTTGTTTCGCGCACTAGTGCTAGGAAAACAAGCTTACTGGAAAATGGACAAGGAAGCTGGTGAGGGGAAAAGATAGGTTGGCAGTTAGCCTTAACAATGTGCAAACCTTGTCAGAGACAGGCACAGGGAATGAATAGTGAGGAAGAAGAAATTGGTTTCCCAAACTGAAATACTTTAAGATTTTGCCTTATTTTAGACTCTTTGATGGATTGCCGGTTTTTCAAGTCATGCAACTTGAGGTCAGGGAGATGCTGAGAAGTATTTACGTGTGACAGACACCTGACTGCCCCTAAGTTTCTTGCAGTGCCTCTATGGTTTTATTCGACTATCTCACAGCTTTTTTATTTTTGCAAGACAGATGTAATGATACTTCTACCATGTCTACAGTAGCTTAATAAATGATGCTGGACATGCTTTGAGGTTCAGAGATAAGAGACATAAAATAACACAAAGTATTATTTTCCTTTAAAGTACAGTCGCCATAATAAAATCGAAACTACCAAAGTGTAAAATGATTTTGACTTCACTTCCTGAAAAATAACATGCTATCGCTGGGAGTTACCGTTTTTTGCTAGGAAGTTGGGTGTTTCTTTAATGGCGTCTTTATGGGAATCAGGTGTCCCGAAAAGAAATTCATCCTTCATTGTCATCATTGTTTTCATCCATGACAAACATCAATTGAGCATTTACTCGATACTGAGCATTATATTAGGAGCTGAGGTGATAAGAATTTACTGAAGAAAATGATCCTTTTCAAGAAATGCAATCTATCTAGGAAGACAAGGAATATACAAGAAAAGAGAGCCTATGATAAATAGCAAACACTTGCTGCAGGCAGCTGCTAAATAATTCAGAGGCTGGGTGGTCAATTAAAGCATTAAGAGAAGGAAGAACCAGACACTAGGCTTTTGGAAATAAATAAACAGAGGGAAGTTCCCCAAAATGTCACTGCAGTTGCGTGGTTTCCAACTCATAGCGACTCTACAGGACAGAGTAGAACTGTCCTTGCGGGTTTTTTTCTGAGGCTGTAAATCAGTGGTTCTCAACCTGTGGATAGTGACCCCTTTGGAGGGTTGGGGTTGTATGACCCTTTCACAGGGGTCACCTGATTCATAACAGTAGCAAAATGACAGTTATGAAGTAGCAAC